TTTTTTAATAAAGACGGGGTTTCACCATGTTGGTCAGGCTGGTCTTGAACTCCCAACCTCAGGTGATCCGCCCGCCTTGGCCTCCAAAGTGCTTGGATTATAGGCGTGAGCCACCACGCCTGGTCTAATTTTTTTTTTTTTTTGAGACAGAGTCTCACTTTGTCACCCTGAGATTCTGTCTCAAAAAAGGTTGGAGTGCAGTGGTGTGGTCTTGGCTCACTGAAACCTTCACCTCCCAGATTCAAGTGATTCTCCTGCCTCAGCCTCCCAAGTAGCTAGGATTATAGTGCCCACCACCACAGCTGGCTAACTTTTGTATTTTCAGTAGAAACAGGGTTTCACCATGTTGGCCAGGCTGGTCTTAAACTCCTGACCTGAGGCAATCCACCTGCTTCGGCCTCCCAAAGTGGTGGGATTATAGGCATGAACCACCATGCTCAGCCTATTGTTAATGTTTTGAATAAACTTCAATGAACATTCATGCAACCACACTTTTGCAGCTACCCATAATGGATTAAGAGGATTTTAAAAGTAGAACTGGTGGTATGTTAGCGATTTCCACAAACCCTTACTGGGCAGTGGGCCTGCTTAGGCAGCAGAACTTTCTTTTATTTTCTTTTCTTTTTTGAGACTGAGTCTCACTTTGTCGCCCAGGTTGGAGTGCAGTGGCATGATCTCGGCTCACTGCAACCTCCACCTCCCGGGTTTGAGTGATTCTCTTGCCTCAGCCTCCTGAGTAGCTGGGATTACAGGAGCATGCCACCACACTTGGATAATTTTTGTATTTTTAGTAGAGAGGAGGTTTCACTATGTTGGTCAGGGTGGTCTTGAACTCCTGACCTCATGTGATCTGCCCACCTCGACCTTCCAAAGTGCTGGGATTACAGGTATGAGCCACCATGCCCAGCCAACAGCAGAACTTTCTAAGTGCTCAGGGTTCTTGGAGATGGCTGAGAATGGGCTTCTCCCATGTTTGGGTGGAAGAGGATGCTAGCTGGGTGACCCCGAGTCAATAAGGAGGGATTTGGTTACACCTTGGGACCTAAGGCACAGAGATGAATGTCCCAGCTCAAGGCTGCCCCCTGCCACTCCACTCCTTGCTTCCTCTCTTCGTAGACCTGTCAACTCTTACACGTGTCAACTAGCTGTCTTGCCCACCTTGCCCTACAGACTTTCTATCCTTTTGGTGATCTCCAGTCCATCAAGAAGTGGCTCTGTACATTCTATTTCGATTGACTTTTTTTTTTTTTTTTTGGAATGGAATCTCGCTCTATCGCCCAGGTTGGAGTGCAGTGGCGCAATCTCAGCTCACTGCAACCACCTCCCAGGTTCAAATGATTCTCCCGCCTTACCCCCCACCGGGTAGCTGGGATTACAGGCACATGCCACCACACCCAGCTAATTTTTTGTATTTTTACTAGAGACGGGGTTTTGCCATGTTGGCCAGGCTGGTCTCAAACTCCTGACCTCAGGTGATCTGCCCGCCTCGGCCTCCCTAAGTGCTAGGATTACGGGCACGAGCCACCACATCTGGCCTGCATGTTTTATTTTGTTTATTTATTTTTGTTTATTTTTTACTTTTTAAAATTTACGGCCGAGGTCACCAGAAAGCATGTTGTATTTTAAAGGCTGATCTAAGTTAACCCCTGCCTCAGTTCTCCTGGCACTGGAGGGCTCCCCGTAATAACAAGTCCTGAAGTCTCCCTTGATTCAGAAATCACTGAGGCAGCAGCACCTGGTACTAATCTTTCTCAGACTTACTGTGCATGAGAATTGCTAGGGGCAATTCTTGTTAGAAAAGAAAAAATCAGAGTCCCAGGCTTCAAATCCAATAAGTCTGGAGTGGGGTATAGGAATCAGCATTTAACAAAAGCAGGCATTTTGGCCAGGCATATTTGCTCACACTTGTAATCCCAGCACTTTGGGAGGCTGAGGCAGGAGGACCACTTGAGTTCAGGAGTTTAACACCAGCCTGGGCAACATAATGAGACCCCTGCCTCTACAGATAAAAATAATTAGCCAGGTGTGGTGGTGCACACCTGTGGTCCCAGCTACTCAGGAGGTTGAGGTGGGAGGATCACATGAGCACGGGAGTTTGAGGCTGCAATGAGCTAGGATCGCAGCACTCCAACCTGGTGACAGAGTGAGGCAAGTCCTAAAAAAAAAAAAAAAAGCAGGTATTTTTGGTATAATATTTGTATGTATCTGCTTAAGACAGTTTGCTTCCAAAGACAAAACTAAACTTCCACCAAACTTCTTTTGGCATAGACTGAGCTCAGAGTGAGGAGATCAGATGGGTTTACACAGACACAGATGGGTTTACACAGACAACGTAACAGTCAGGTTTTTTGTTTTTTTTAGATGGGGTTTTGTTCTTGTTGCCCAGTCTGGAGTGCAGTGGCGCCATCTCGCCTCACTGCAACCTCCACCGCCCAGGTTCAAGCGATTCTCCTGTCTCAGCCTCCCGAGCAGCTGGGATTACAGGCATGCACCACCATGGCTGACTAATTTTATATTTTTAGTAGAGACAGGGTTTCTCCATGTTAGTTAGGCCGGTCTCAAACTTCCGACCTCAGGTGATTCGCCTGCCTTGGCCTCCCAAAGTGCTGGGATTACAGGTGTGAGCCAACGGCCCTGCCAACAGTCAGATTTATCTCCTTTTCTTTTTCCCAGCCAGTGTGAGGGAGGGGTAATCTACAAAATCTCTCTTTTCTTACAGGAACTCATAGAGGAAGACAGATTGGCCCAGTGAACCAATCATAATACGCAAAGGTCATCCAAACCCTCTGATTTCCTTAACTTGTGTAAGAAAAAGAGGAAGTTCTCCGAGCGACTCACTACTGTGGTGCTACTATGCCTTTTCAACCGTGTCTTGGACTTCATCTGGGAGAATGTGGAGCCATTTGAACAAGCTCCTCTTCTGGGCCATGCTTTCTTCTGTCACATGTAAGCCCCACTTGGCACTTTGAGGCTTGAACCTCCAAGCCAACACGTCATATGGAAAGTGAGCTTTATCGTGTTCCTTTTCCCTTTCAGGTAAAAACACTGTGTTGGATTGTAAGGCAATGAAAACAAATGGTAAGTGTCAGTTACTTCTTTCTTACTGAAACTATTTTAATTGAAATGGGGAGACCGTCTGATTGCAACATTCAAAAGCATCCATTCAAAAGTGTTTCTGAGGTTTTACATGAAAAACCAAAGAACAGTCTTTTCTGGATGCTTTTGAATGTTGCAATCGAGCGGGATTTTCGCTCTTGTTACCCAGGCTGGAGTGCAATGGTGCCATCTCGGCTCACCGCAACCTCCGCCTCCTGGGTTCAGGCAGTTCTCCTGCCTCAGCCTCCTGAGTAGCTGGGACTACAGGCACGCACCATGCCCAGCTAATTTTTTGTAGTTTTAGTAGAGACGGGGTTTCACCATGTTGACCAGGATGGTCTTGATCTCTTGACCTCGTGATCCACCCGTCTCAGCCTCCCAAAGTGCTGGGATTACAGGCTTGAGCCACCGCGCCCGGCTTGAACAGTCTTTTCAATTACCTGTTGTTTAAAATAAAATGATTTTAGAGAGGGGATTGCAGCATTTTTTTCTGAGACTCGGTGACAAAATATTGAAATTGGTTTTTTTGTTTTGTTTTGTTTTTGAGACAGAGTTTTGCTCTTGTTGCCAGGGCTGGAATGCAATGGCATGATCTTGGCTCACTCAACTTCTGCCTCCTGGGTTCAAGCGGTTCCCCTGCCTCAGCCCCCCGAGTAGCTGGGATTACAGGCATGAGCCACCACGCACAGCTAATTTTTGTATTTTTATTAGAGACAGGGTTTCACCATATCAGCCAGGCTGGTCTTGAACTCCAGACCTTGTGATCCGCCTGCCTTGACCTCCCAAAGTGCTGGGATTACAGGTGTGAGCTGCGGCGCCCGGCCGTTGAAATTGTTTTCACAATGAAAGTTTTCTAACTTTTCTTGTTGTTTTGTGATTGTTGTATTTTAACTAGAAAACCAACACATAGGCTGGGCGTGGTGCCTCAGAACTGTAGTCCCAGCACTTTGGGAGGCTAATGGGGTAGGATTGCTTGAGCTCAGGAGTTCGAGGCCAGCCTGGACAACATAGTGATACCTCCTTTCTTTTTTTTTTTTTTTTTGAGACGGAGTTTCACTCTTGTTACCCAGGCTGGAGTGCAATGGCGCGATCTCGGCTCACCGCAACCTCCGCCTCCTGGGTTCAGGCAATTCTCCTGCCTCAGCCTCCTGAGTAGCTGGGATTACAGGCACGCACCATCATGTCCAGCTAATTTTTTGTAGTTTTAGTAGAGACGGGGTTTCACCATGTTGACCAGGATGGTCTCGATCTCTTGACCTCGTGATCCACCCGCCTTGGCCTCCCAAAGTGCTGGGATTACAGGCTTGAGCCACCGCGCCCGGCCTTACCTCGTTTCTTAAAAAAAAAAAAAAAAAAATTGTGAAATAATTCAAGCAACACTAGAAATATACATTGGGAGATGGTCTACCTCTGGTTCTACTAGTTACCAGCCAGCAGCTTGAGCTCGTGACATACCCACTTTGACCTTAATTTCTTTCATCTGTGAAGTGGGTTAATGAAAGCACCTACCTGGTAGGGTAGTGTGCAGATCAAATGAGACAATCTCTGCCCCTCGACACGGTGGCAGGCATATGATAAACCATCCAAAAGTGACAGCCAAGGTGGTGGTTGTTACTGTCTAAAATGTAAACATGCTGTTATATCCTCTTCCGATCCTTCTCTCCTCCCTACTTCCAAAACCAACTGCTCCCAACAGTCATTTTGTATTTGGTATCATAGTAAATAAACTCACCTGTGACTTTCTTTTAACTTAATATATTATAGACATCTTTTCCAAGTAGTAGATATTGATTTAGCTCATCTTTTTCCTTCTTTCTTTTTTTTTTTTTTTTTGAGACGGAGTTTCACTCTCGTTGCCCAGGCTGGAGTATAGAGGCACAATCTCAGCTCACTGCAACCTCCACCTCTTGGGTTCAATGGATCCCCCTGCTTCAGCCTCCCGAGTACCTGGGATTACAGGCACATGCCTGGATAATTTTTGTATTTTTTTTTTTTTTTTTTTTGGTAGAGACAGGGTTTCACCATGTTGGCCAGGCTGTTCTCAAACTCCTGACCTCATGATTTACCCACCTTGGACTCCCAAAGTGCTGGGGTTACAGGCATGAGGCACCACACCCAGACTTAGCTCATCTGTTTCAATAGCTGCATGGTATTTTATGACTCAGCCATGATTCATTTAACCATGCTTATTTATTGTTCCACTTTTGGGGGGCAATATAAACAATGCTACAATAAACATCCTTGTACAAAGCATCCTTGTACAAAAATAAAAAATAAAAATATAAGAAAAATAAAAATAAAAGAACAAACACCCTTGAACAAAACATCCTTTGTGGATGCACGAGAGCTTGGGAGTATCTCTGTAGAATGAAATTCTAGAAGTGAAATTGCAAGGTCAGAGGGCATACACTTTTAAATTGTTACAGACCCTGCTAAGTTGCCCTCCCAGCAAGGCTGATCCTATCCTATTCGTCACCAACGGTGGGTGAGTTTCCCTACCTTCCTCCCCAGTCGTGGATATAATCACTTTTACTTTTTAAATTTTATTTAGGTTTTTTTTTTTCTTTTTTTTTTTTTTTTTTTTTAAGACAGAGTCTCACTGTGTCGCCCAGACTGGAGAGCACCAGTGGCCTGATCTTGGCTCACTGAAACCTCCATCTCCCTCCCAGGTTCAAGCCATTCTCCTGCCTCAGCCTCCCAAGTAGCTGGGACTATAGGCGCCCATCATCATGCCCAGCTAATTTTTGTATTTTTAGTAGAGATGGGGTTTCACTATGTTGGCCAGGCTGGTCTTGAACTCCTGACCTCATGATCCACCCGCCTCAGCCTCCCAAAGTGCTGGGATTACAGGTTTGAGCCACCACACTCAGCCTGGGTGTTTTTTTTTTTTTTTTTTTTTTTTTTTTGAGACAAGAGTCTCTGCTCTGTCACCCAGGCTGGTGCGATCGGGACTCTCTGCAGTCTCGACCTTCCAAGCTCAATTGGTCCTCCCACCTCAGCCTCCCAAGTAGTGCCATACAGGTACCTTGCCACTATGCCCAGCTAACTTTTGTATTTTTAGTAGAGACAGCGTTTCGCTCTTTCCCAGGCTGGTCTTGGACTCAAGAGATCTGCCTGCCTCAGCCTCCCAAACTGCTGGGATTACAGGTGTGAGCCACCATGCCTGGCCAATCATTTAAAAAATTTGTGCCAATCTGATAAGTGAAAAATGGTATCTCAGTGTTGTTTTAATTTGCATTGCCTCATCACTTGTGACGTTGAGCATCTTTTTCATGTATATTGGCCACAAAAGCTCTAGCATTCCTATAAAAAGAAAAATTAGGGATAGCTATTTGGTTGGAAAGGTAGTTTAGGTCTTATCTTAAAGTTGAGTTTATATGGCGGGGCACAGTGACTCATATCTTAATCCCAGCACTTTGGGGGCTGCGGCAGGCAGTCACTTGAGGTCAGGAGATTAAACCAGCCTGGCCAACATGGTGAAACCCTGTCTTTACCAAAACTACAAAAATTATGGGCCTATAGTCTCAGCTACTCAGGAGGCTGAGGCTGGAGGATCAATTGAGCCTGGAAGATTGACACTGTGTTGAGTCAAGATTTTGCCACTGTATTCCAGCCTGGACAACAGAGTGTGACTCTGTCTCAAAAAAAAAAAAAAAAAAAAAAAAGTTGAGTTTATATAAGACTGAGAAAATGTTAATTGTCCAGATAACAGACTGGGAGGAGAGTTTATGGCATTTTTTTTTTTTTTAACAAGTTTATGCCATTTTTTTTTTTTTTTTAAGAGGGGGTTTCGCTCTTGTTACCCAGGCTGGAGTGCAGTGGCGTGATATTGGCTCACCGCAACATCCGCCTCCTGGGTTCAAATGATTCTCCTGCCTCAGCTTCCCGAGTAGCTGGGACTACAGGCATGTGCCACCATGCCCGGCTAATTTTTGTATTTTTAGTAGAGACGGAGTTTCACCATGTTGACCAGGATGGTCTTGATGGCTTGACCTTGTGATCCACCCGCCTCGGCCTCTCAAAGTGCTGGGACTACAGGCGTGCGCCACCATACCCGGCTAATTTTTGTATTTTTAGTAGAGATGGAGTTTCACCATGTTGACCAGAATGGTCTCGATCGCTTGACCTCGTGATCCACCCGCCTCAGCCTCAAAGTGCTGGGATTATAGGCGTGAGCCACCGTGCCCGGCGTTTACGGCATTTTTGAAAGCATTCTTGAAGGGTCACTGCAACCTCCATTGATACTGGCTATTTTTTTTTTTTTTTTTTTTTGTTTGTTTGTTTTTTGAGACGGAGTTTCGCTCTGTTACCCAGGCTGGAGTGCAATGGCGCGATCTCGGCTCACCGCAACCTCTGCCTCCTGGGTTCAGGCAATTCTCCTGCCTCAGCCTCCTGAGCAGCTGGGACTACAGGCACGCGCCACCATGCCCAGCTAATTTTTTGTATTTTTAGTAGAGATGGGGTTTCACCGTGTTGACCAGGATGGTCTCGATCTCTTGACCTCGTGATCCACCCGCCTCGGCCTCCCAAAGTGCTGGGATTACAGGCTTGAGCCACCGCGCCCGGCGATCCTGGCTATTTTTTGTTTGCTCTGTTTTGTTTTTTCAAAATTAGAGATGAGGTCTCACTATGTTATCCAGGCTGTTCTTGAACTCCTGAGCTCAAGTACTTCTCCCACCACAGCCTCCCAAAGTGCTAGGATTACAGGCGAAAACCACCATACCCAGCTTCAAGAACTTTGTGTTTATTTTTATTTTTTGAGACAATCTCGCTCTGTCACCCAGGCTGGAGTGCACTGGCACGATCTCAGCTCACTGCAACTTCTGCCTCCCTGGTTCAAGCAATTATCCTGCCTCAGCCTCCTGAGTAGCTGGGATTACAGGTGCCCACCACCATGCCCAGCTAATTTTTGTGTTTTTAGTAGAAATGAGGTTTCACCATGTTGAGCAGACTGGTCTCAAACTCCTGACCTCAAGTGATCTGCCCACCTTGGCCTCCCAAAGTGCTGGGATTACAGGCATGAGCCACCACCCAGCTTCAAGCACTATTTAATGAGCCTCTGCATCTCTTCCTCTGGGAATGGCTTGTTCATACTATTTGCCCATTTATTTTTTGGGTTTGTCCTTTTCTCCTTGGTTTGCAGTTGATTTATATGCATAAAAGGAATCTTCTGCTTTTATTTATGTCTTAAATGTTTTCTTCTATGCTGTCACTTGAATTTTAATTTTGTCATAGAGAAGTTTTTAGTTTTAAGATAGTCAACTTTTTCAATCTTTTCCATATATATATATATATATATATAGCTTCTAATTTTGTGTCTTACATGGAAGACCAAACCTTACCTGATGATACACAAATCTTTTCCTGTATTTCTCTTAATTCTTTCATAGTTTAAAATATATATCTATATAATAGATTTTTTTTTCTTTTTTTCTTTTTTTGAGGCAGGGTCTTGCTTTGTTGGCCAGGCTGGAGTGCAGTGAAGAGCGGATCTTGGCTCACTGCAACTGTTTCCCGGGTTCCGGCGATTCTTCTGCCTCAGCCTCCTGAGTAGCTGGGACTGTAGGCACATGCACCAGGCCCAGCCAATTTTTTTGTAGGGTTTTTTTTGTTGTTGCTGTTGAGACAGAGTCTCGCACTGTAACCCAGGCTGGAGTGCAGTGGCACAATCTTGGCTCACTGCAACCTCTGCCTCCCAGGTCCTGGTTCAAGCAATTCTCCTGTCTCAGCCTCCCAAGTAACTGGGATAACAGGTGCCCGCCATCATGCCCGGCTAATTTTGTATTTTTAGTAGAGACAGGGTTTCTCCATGTTGGTCAGGCTGGTCTCAAACTCCCAATCTCAGTTGATCCACCCACCTCAGCCTCCCAAAGTTCTGGGATTACAGGCGTGAGCCACTGAGCCCAGCCCTAACCAGGATTTTAACAAGGACTTTTTCGTGTGTTATTTTGTTTTTCAGAATTTCCTCCTCCGTGTTTGGACTCAGAGACTAATGTGGTCATGAAGGGTCAAAGTGTATCTGTGTTTTGTTCCCATAAGAACAAATCACTGCAGATCACCTATTCATTGTTTCGAAGTAAGACACACCTGGGAACCCAGGATGGAAAAGGTGAACCCGTGATTTTTAATTTAAGCATCACAGGAGCCCACGAATCAGGCCCCTACAAATGCAAAGCGCAAGTTTGCAACCATTCAAAATACAGTCCCAACTTCAACTTCATAATTGTCGGTAAGTAGAGCACCTGTTCCTTAGAGCCCCTATAATTTATGGGGTCCTTTCCTATAATAGGAGGGGCTCTCCATGCCCCTTATCAACACTTGTTCAAGAACCTGGAAAGTATGTCACTGTGATCTTTATTCTTTTTTTATTTTTTATTTTTAGACCTGGTCGACAGGAAGTGTCTTTTTTTAATATTTGAGACCTCCATTTTTTTTTTTTTTTTTTTTTTTTTTGAGACGGAGACTCACTCTTTTTCCCAGGCTGGAGTGCAGTGGCACAATCTTGGTTCACTGCAACCTCTGCCTCCGAGGTTCAAGGCATTCTCCTGCCTCAGCCTTCTGAGTAGCTGGGATTACAGTCGCCCACCACCACACCTGGTTAAATTTTTACTAGAGACAAGGTTTCACCATGTTGGCCAGGCTGGTCTTGAACTCCCGACCTCAGGTGATCCGCTCGCCTCAGCCTCCCAAAGTGCTGGGATTACAGGCATGAGCCATCATGCCCGGTGAGATCTCTATTCTCAATAATTCCATTTCACCTTCTCTTTCAAAGACTTTTGACCGTGTCAGATAATAGTCATATCTTTAGGCAAAAGTCATGTATCTCAACAGTAATTGTTGAGTTTTTTCTAGAAACTTTATTCCATGATTGCCATTATGTAGGCAAAAATCACTTTTCTTTTTTCCTTGAAGCCTTGACCCCCATGGAGAGGGTCTTCAACGCCCCAGGCCTTTCCCACTGCTTCCTCAGTGGCAGGTGCCCCACCCGCCAGCACTCTCCCTGCCCAGCCACGTCTCACTACTTCTGTGTTTTTCTCTCCCATTTTCCTACCCAAGCCTGTTAACTGCCTAGTATTTAGGGCCTCATCCATGAAGGTGACCTTGATAATGGACTTCTGGGAGAGGAGAGAAGGCTTCTAGGTAATACATGTATGTTATAGCTAGAGTCTTCTAAGCACAAGGACCATGACTTCCCGATAACTCTTGAGTGGTTCTCTAGGTCTATGCTATCCACTATGGTAGCCACCAGCCACATGTGACTGTTTACATTTATTTATTTTGTTTTATTTTCTTTCTTTATTATTATTATTATTTGAGATGGAGTCTCATTCTGTCACCCAGGCTGGAGTGCAGTGGTATGATCTCAGCTCACTGCAATCTCCATCTTTTGGGTTCAAGCAATTCTCCCACCTCAGCCTCCCAAGTAGCTGGGATTACAGGCATGCACCATCATGCCTGGCTAATTTTTATATTTTTACTAGAGATGGGGTTTCACCATGTTAGCCAGGCTGGTCCTGAACTCCTGACCTCAGGTGATTCACCCACCTGAGCCTTCCAAAGTGCTGGCATTATAGGCATAAGCCAGTGGGCCTGGCCAAAATTTATTTAACAGCCTCACTATGCCACCCAGAGGCTACTCACAGGCAATCGAAGCCCACTGCAGCCTCAAACTCCTGTTCTTAAGATACCCTCCCACCTGAGCATCCTGAATAGCTGGGATTATAAGCACGTGCCATTGTGGCTTGCACATTTAAAATCAAATTAATTAAAATTAGATGAAATAAAAAATTTCACTCTACAGTCTCATTAGTTACATTTCGAGCCTTCAGTAGCCACACCTGTAGCTGGTGGCGGCCACATTGGACAACACAGATGTAGAGCATTCCCATGATCACAGAAAGTTCTACTGGGTGACATTGATGTAACTCAGTGATTCTTAGTTTTTTAGGTTATAACTGTCTTAATAATCTAATGATAGCAATGAATACCTTCGCCAGAAAAATGCTCATATAACCACAGATACAAATTTCTGCATAAGGTTTTAGAAGGTGCTACAGGCTCCAGGTTAGAACCAATTAGCCTGGCCAGGTGCAATGGCTCACGTGTAATCCCAGCACTTTGGGAGGCCAAGGCAGGAGGATCACCTGAGCCCAGGAGTTTGAGATCAGCCTGGGCACTATATGGAGACTGTGTCTCTACAAAAAGTTTAAAAAAAAAAAAAAAAAGCCAAGCGTGGTGGCGTGCCTGTACTGCCAACTACTCAGGAGGCTGAGGTGGGAAGATTGCTTCAGCCCAGAAGTTCAAGGCTGCAGTGAGCCATGATTGTACCACTGTACTCCAGCCTGGGTAACAGAGAGAGACCCTGCCTCAAAAAAAAAAAAAAAAAGACCCAATGATCTTTGGACATAAACTAAGTATATTCCTTGTGAAAGGAAAACGAAGAAGGAGGGAGAAATCCCTGCCAAGACAGTACTAGAATACCATGATTATATGAGGCCAGAAACACGGCTGATAGCATTCCCTAGTGGTCAGACTCCTGCTGCGCTGGGCAGTAAGCCCATCAGCGCATATGTTTTCTGTGCACGACCTTCTTGCAATTTGTTAGAGTAATTACACAGTCTAGTAATAAAACTATCTTGGTAGACTATAAAACTGTATCCTTTTCAGTTAGGTCAGATCAATAGGCATGATTGAATGCCTATTCCGTGCAAGCAATTGTACTACTGGGTGTTTAATGAGGCCTAAAACATAGTCTTGTCCCCAACCCAATAAAGATTGAAAGTATGAGCCATAAACACAAATTCATTAATTGCTGATTCACTCAACAAATGTTTAAAGAAAACACAGGGCCAGTTGCGGTGGCTCGTGCCTGTAATCCCAGCACTTTGGGAGGTTGAGGTGGGCGGATCACTTGAGAACAGTAGTTCAAGACCAGCCTGGCCAACATGGTCAAACCCCCTCTCTACTAAAAATACAAAAATTAGCTAGGCATGGTGGTGAGTATCTGTAATCCTTAGCTACCCGGGAGGCAGAGGAAGAAGAATTGCTTGAACCTGGGAGGCGGAGGTTGCAGTGAGCTGGGATGGCGCCATTGCACTCCAGCATAGCGGGGAGAGAGAGAGACTCTGTCTCATAAAAAAATAAAATAAAATAAAGCAGATGTGCCAATCCCTGGATATATATTGGTTCTTGCCCTTGTGGAGCATACAGTCCAGTGTTTGCAGACAACAAACCCAAGTACACAAACAAGCACATCACAAACTGTGTTGAGCATTGCCAAGGAAAAGAAACTGGCACAGAGATGGAGAACAGTAGATGGGGGAGGGACCTGCTTAGATGGGGTACTTTAAGTGGATCCCTGGAGGATGAGGAGTTGGCTCTATGAAGAGACAGGATAAAGGGGGGCTTTAGTCAAAGGAGTGCAGCATGCTCAGGGGCTCCATCTTGGGAAAGAGCTTGGCTGGTTCCATGAACTATATGAAGGCCTGTGTGGCTGACCAGATGAAGGGAGTCTGACCTCAGATGAGACTGGAGGGAGAGGCCGGTCAAGTCAGGCAGGGCCTGGAGGCACAGGAGGCGTTTAGACTCTTCCATGGGCAGTGGGCAGGCAGGGGAGTGCCAGTACGCAATTAATCATCCTCCAAGTCAGTTCATTCAACAAGCGTGCAGGGCAAGTTGGAGGTTGGTTGGGAGGCTCTTGCAAGTGTCCAGGAGAGAAATGATGGAGAGGTAGGGACAGATGTGGAAGGACTGAGGAAATATTTTAGAGAAAGAACCAACAGCACTTGCTGACTGGTTAGATTTGGAATCACAGGCAGTGAAGGTGGAGAAAGAATCAAGAATGGCTTCCAGATGCCTAGATGTCTAGCTTGATTGACCCGTGAAGACTGGTACCATCTACTGTGATGGGGAAACATGGAAGGACAGGATTTTATTTATGTATTGATTTTGAGATGGGATCTCCCTCTATTGCCCAGGCTGAAGTGCAGTGGTATGACCCTAGCTCTCTGCAGCCTCAAACTCCTGGAGTCAAGTGATCCTCCCACCTCAGCCTCCCAAGTAGCTGGAACTACAGGTGTGCACCACCACACCCAGCTAATTTTTGTATTTTTGGTAGAGATGGGGATTCACCATGTTGGCCAGGCTGGTCTCAAACTCCTGACCCCAGGTGATGATCCTCCCACCTTGGTCTCCCAAAGTGCTGGGATTACAAATGTGAGCCACCACATTCAGCCCTGAACAGGATTTTAAAACGGTGTTTCTTTGTCTACCTAGTGATTGATTCATGAACTAGCATATTAACTAGAATTCAGTTTCAAACGGTTACATTTGAGGCGACCATGAGACATCTAAGTAGATCACGTAGTAAGAGGTAGTAAAAGTAGCATGCGGATGGGACCAAGTGCTAGAGGCGGCAGAGCAGGAGAAAGTGCTTCTCCCTGGATGATTCAGGAAAGGCCTTATGGGGAAGGTGGCAGAGAGGACTCCTTGAAATTTGAGAAATATAACTGATTTATTGAAGAGCTATAACTCACTGAAGCTTCCTTCCTCAGACCATCATGACCTTGTGATGATGTACCACTCCTCCTACAAACTCTCAGGGAAGTCTACATCTTTCTAGTCTCTTTATATCAATCCTTGGTCCAGTTGAAATCATCCCATCTCAGAGAGGAGTCTGTGTTCTCTGCTTCCTCATGACTGTTTCAACTCCTTCTTCCTGAAAATTACAGGATGTAGATTTCAGTTCAATAGGAAGAACTTCCTATTGGTGCTATGCTCTCTTGCTCTTTTCTTTCTTCTTTCTTTTTTTTCCTCTTAGAGACAGACAGTGTCTTGTTCTGTTGCTCAAGCTGGAGTGCAGTGCTGCGATCATAGCTCACGGCAGGAACCTTGAACTTCCTGAGCTCAAGCAATCCTCCTGCCTCAGCCTCCCAAGTAGTTGGTACTACAGATACATGTCACAACACTCAGCCATTTTTTTTTTCTTTTTTTTTTTGAGACAGAGTCTCACTCTGTTGCCAGGTGCCGGGCTGGAGTGCAGTGGCGTGATCTCAGCTAACTGCAACCTCCGCCTCCCGGATTCAAGCAATTCTCCTGCCTCCGCCTCCCTAATAGCTGGGACCACAGGCACATGCCACCACGCCCAGCTAAGTTTTGTATTTTTTTAGTAGAGACAGGGTTTCACCATTGTCTTGATCTCTTGACCTCGTGATCCGCCCACCTCAGCCTCCCAAAGTGCTGGGATTACAGGTGTGTGCCACCGTGCCCGTCCCCTATACTCAGCCATTTTTTTGTTTGTTTTGCAGAGTTAGAGGGGTCTCACTATATTGTCCAGGCTGATCTTCATCTCCTTGCCTCGAGTGATCCTCCAGCTTCTGCCTCCCAGAATGCTGGGATTACAGGCATCAGCCACAGTGCTCAGCCTCCATTGGTGATATTCCCCAACAAAATTGCCCTCTGAGGCCACCATCACTGGGTGCCATTCTGTGAAGGATATTGTGACAAGGGTTACTGTTCAGTGGGGAGATGGAGCAAGGAGAGACTAAATTATTGTCTTTTATGTAATGATACTGTGGTCCTATACCGTATTGTTTCCGTACCAAATTGAATATTTTTTTTTTTGTTTTGTTTTGTTTTGTTTTAAAGGAACGGTGGCATGCACCTCAGCACTTTAGCACTTTGGGAGGCTGAGGTGGGCAGATCACCTGAGTTCAGAAGGTAAAGGCTGCAGTGGGCTATGATAACGCTGCGGCACTCCAGCCTGGGCGACAGAGCAAGTTGCTGTCTCTAAAAAAATTTTTTTAGTAGTCTGGGCTAGGTGGCTCACACCTGTAATCCTGGTACTTGGGAGGCCAAGGCAAGACAATTGTATGAAGTCAGGAGTTGGAAACCAGCCTGGGCAACATGGCAAAACCTCATCTCTACAAAACATACAAAAAAGTAGACAGGTATGGTGACACATGGCTGTAGTCTCAGCTATTTGGGAGGCTGTGTTAGGAGGATTGCATGAGCTGGGGATGGTCATTGTGGGGTGTTGGGGGGGAGCTGAGGTTGCAGTGAGCCATGATCATACCACTGTACTCCAGTCTAAAAGATAGAGTGAGAACCTGTTTCAATTTTTTTTTTTTTTTTTAGGACGAAGTCTCGCCCTGTCACCCAGTCTGGAGTGCAGTGGCATGCCCAGCTAATTTTTATATTTTTAGTAGAGACTGAGTTTCACCCTGTTGGCCAGGCTGGTCTCAAACACCTGACCTCAGGTGATCTGCTCTCCTCAGCCTCCCAAAGTGCTGGGATTACAGGTGTGAGCCACCAAGCCTGGCCAAAAAAAAAAAAAAAAAA